TCCAGGTCATCACAGAGCACGGAGCTGAGAGCTCCTTGTGTTATGCAGTAGCTTCCCACTAGCTATCTATTTTACTCACAGCAGTGTATATATGTCAATACTACTATCTCAATTTGTCCTGCCCTGTCCTTCCCCCGCACCTTGTCCGTAAGTCCATTCTCTACATCTGTGTGTCTATTCCTGTCCTGCAAATTGGTTCACCGGTACATTTTTCTAGATTCCATACATATGCGTTAATTATACGATATTTGTTTTTATCTTTTTGACTTACAAGTCATTGCTTTCTTAATACAAATTATATTATTGCCCATTTCTAAGAGGACAATCCAGGCAGTTTTATAAATATCAGGATGGAACCGGCCAAAATACAATTGTTTACACAAAAGCCCAAAGTGCCTTCAGCATCTGAGGCATTTGACTCCAGAGGCACGCGGCAGAACAGCCCAGCCCGAAGGTCCAAGGCACGCAAGAGCCAAGTGGCCTGTCGCGGCCCTCCAAGCAGCTTGACATGTCACTCTCCTCAAAAACGCATGCCACTTGTCATGACATTCTGAGTGCTATACGTTGCATCACGTGTATATAGTTACAGTTTCAAATATAATTTATGATCAAACCAGTCACGAACGGGGGATGAATGAGCAAAGAATATAAATACACACTGGGTTCTGCCTAATTCCTTTTAAGCCTGTGGCCAAGCGGTACTCTCTGGTTCCCAGCCTCTCCCTTTCTCTCTGACCAGCCACCACTTAATATCGTTTAAGTCAATAATATGGTTATGAAGTCCCCATTCATAACTCAAAATGGCTATGTACTTTGAGACTCAGAGCTAAAGCAAAAGACGAGTGTGGAGCTATTTTCACCCAGGGAACAGAGTATATGATTCATTAGTGAAAATTCTCATATGGTTTTTTGGTAAGATGAGGTATAATTGCCCAAAGCCCATAAACCAAGACCTTATTAGGATTACTTAACACTTAAACTTCCTCAATAGTGAGACTAAAAAGTCAATACTGATCCTCCTAAAAATGATCTGGTAACACGAATTAAAAGTCTAAAGAAGGTGCATATCCTGTGGGAAACAGACTTATAAGAAAGAATCAGGGATGCTGTCCCCAAATACAAAACAAAAAGTTTAATATAAAAAGAACAAAACAAAATGAAAAGTTAAAAAAAAAAAAAAACAAGGAAGCAAAAAAAAAATTAAAAAAGAAAGGCCCTAACAAAAGAAAATTAAAAAAAAAAAAAATTGGAAAAAAAAAAAATCTAAGCATCCCATAATAAGAAAATAAAGTATGGTCTCTTTATGTGAAGGTATATTATGCAGTCATAAAAAGCATGTGAGGAAAATTCTAATATCAATACACTGAAAATGAGCAGTCATGAGGAGAAAATTAAAATATTAAATTTTATATATACTACAATCCTGATAATATAATGTTTGGGCACAGAATAAATACTGAAAGAAAAAACAGCAAGTTACATTGGTAGTTTTGTCTGGGTGGTGCTGATTCTGTTTTCATCACAATATTTTTCTGTATTTTCCACAATGTCCACAGTAATCTTGTATTAGTCTTATAATCATAAGCATAATACACAGAACAAATTAAAGATATACCTGGATCATACAAAGCACTGCACTAGATATAAAGCTGGGGAATAAAAGCTGCTCTGTTAATGTAACTTTTAAAGGAATGGTCCCTACATCAGCATCATACAGAAACTCAGAAACTCTCAACTATGTAAATTACTGATGGGCTCTAGGAGCTTTGACATGTAGACTACTCAAGATCTTTCAAAGATCTTCACTCCTGTGCTAAGGACATATTCTCACTGACAGAGGCTTACAGAATCCCTTTGCTGGTATTCATCTGCCTGTCCCATAAAACATGACCTAGCAAGTCCCCTTCAGCAATTCTGAAAGAGGGACAGAGGGCCCCAGGTAATATGATGCACCCAGAGCACGTCTGCAGCTCTGACAGGTGCAAACAACGCCTCTCATCTAAATATAAATGGACTTAGGCAGTTTGGAAACAGTCTTTCCCACTTTCTATTCTGATCAAGCAAAAGAATGCTCTATTCTTTAGTTCTGACTCTCCACGCTGGTTATTTTTTATTTAGATTCACTTTGCAATCACTTAAATTCAAAGAGAAGCAATGTTAGAACTCTAAGACGACAGAAAGAAAGAAAAGGATTTCCAAAATCTTGTGTATTTGAACTGTTTTTGAAATTGTTAAGTTGAGGAGGAGATAAGGCATTAACAACATTTTTTTAAGTTTTCTGGATGAGCAAAAAAAAACTGATGTTAACACATGCAGAAGGAAACACTATCTAGTATTTAAGCCAGGAGGATCTAATTTTTAATCAATGGAGTGGAAATTCCTTGGCGGAACATATAGAACTCTGTGCATTTCCAATTCCTGCCGTTCTCTCTCCCATTACCCTTAAATGTTTTCTCCCCCTTCAGGATCCTGCTCAACGGTCACTTCTCAAAGGTCAGCCTTTTCTAAACTTACCCTCTTTCCTCTCCACCACTGTCTTAGCTCCCCAGAGATCTGCCTTTCACACGTTCATTCCACATCATTATTTGTCCATTTAAGAGCTTCTTGAGAGTAAGATAATATATCACTAATTTTTCCATTTCCAGCACCTAGGCTTAAGTTAGTTAATAGTGCACTATAGAATGAATGAACAAATGTGTAAGACATAACTGAAAAAAGTCACAGATGAACCCAAGTGCAAGAATAAGGCAGAGCTACCACTAACAACCATGAAAAAGCGCAGTTTATGGCAAAATGATCATTGGCTATGCTTAGCCACTGGCCTCTTGGTTTATTTGGGGGAGGAGGATAGGCTTATTAAAGAAAATTAAGGCTATAATTCAATGCCAGATATTAGAAAAGTAAGTTGGTAAGCATTGACTAAAGGGTTGAAGTTTTCCATTTTCAGCTTCACTCTTTGTTGCTAGAAAATGAAAGTGTGAAGCACGATTGTCTAAGGGCCAGTCCAGCTCTCTGGGGCTCGGGACTGATGTGAATTCTCCTGGAACAGTTCTCCAGAGCTTGCAACCCAGCTCTATTCCAATCTCAAAGACTGTGCTCTTTTCAAACTCTTAGATGCCACACTCCTACCTACCAAAACTGTGGTGTGCCACAACTAAGTTTAGCCCCACTCTCCTGGTCTGAAATAGTCACCTAAACCACAGGGGAAATTATTACCCATGATTTCCTAGATCTATGTAAGGAAGATGCTTCCAAACCCAAATGCTATAAAATTGTATTTACTTGTCCCAACTCCTTCCCACTTGGGTTCAGATCACCCTTTGCCTGCATATGTTTTGCAATACCTATTGGCTCTTTATCTCTGCCCACTCCTCTAGCATGCTCCCTCCACTTGAGAAATGTAGGCAGCACTTGGCTTCATAAATTTTCGAACTTCTCATCAGCTAATAAAAGGGTGTTTAGAGTTGGCAAAGGAATTATTGCATAGGAATTTTATTTGCCAACTGCCTACCAATAGTTAATTTCCCAGGTGGTCCTTAATTAGATTTATCCACTGAAAGAGAAGAGGACTAATGATCAGCCTTCAGACCTGAAGACTGAGTCTGAGGAAGCTCTCTATAGCACCGAAGACTCCAACTGCACTATTGTAATGGACAAGCATTTTCGTCTTACATTCCTATTAAAATTAGAAGCTGCTTTTAAATCTCTTACAGCAGAAATTCCCATATGCTATGGTCAACATAATGACTTTTTATAAAGCTAAATATATGCAATATGAAGGACTAGCCTCTACTGTGAGATTAGGCCCTTCCTGTATTTTGTTGTTGTTAAAGAGTGTGTGCATGTGTGCTCGGTAGTGTCCAATTCTTCGCAAACCCACGGGATTCTCCAGGCAAGAATAGTGTATTTCTTCTAAAAATGAAAGGTGGTAACAGAAGACGGTAGGACTTGTTTATGTTTTTACTTGGCACTTTAAAAAGCTGGTAATCCTATATTAATTTCCAAAATTCAGTAAAGCTGGGAAACTGCGATCCTCATCCCTAAAGTGGTTAGCTCAGAGCTGATCACCAAGGAGATGATATCTATGACTACATACATGCATATTTAAATTGATCTCATAGGGGTGGAGGGGCTTCTAAACTCTATTCTAAACTCATCATTCTCTACAGATCTCAAGCTGAAGCACAGAGATCAAGGAGGCCCTGTAGATAAAGGCTGAATCCGTTCATACAGATTCAAGTCAGGTAGTTTCCTCGGAAATATACCTACCTGAGAAACCCTCAACTATATATGCAGTATTCTGAGATGGGGATTGGTCCTTTGCCTCAATAACAACTTTATTAAAAGGATTTTATTGTATTCCAGTCACAAGGAGACCCGGACCGTGATGGGCACAAATCAAGCGTTCAGTAATTATTTTCAACAGTATCCTAGAAGCTGGGGATACTGATCCCGAAAAGGCTCAACCTAAGGCGGAGGGAAACGCATTTGGCATTCTCTCGGGGCTCCTCTGGGCTCCACGTGTAATGGGGGAACTAGTGGTCACCTGTGAACCCCGTGACTGAAGAGTAAGACAAAGGCGGGGCCGGCGGGACGGGTGAATGCCACTGCAATCCCGTCCGCGCGCGTAGGGTGACTTTGCCCGGCGAGGACTTTGCCTAGGGAGTGGGAACTGTGCCAGGCACCGGCGTTCACCCCTCTGGCTGTAACGGGATGCTGTGCAGCAGGCAAGTGCCTCTGCCCCCTGGCGCCCGTTCCCCCGGCTTCAGATAAAATTATGACCCACCGCCCCCTTTCCACCCCCTGGAACCCGGCCCTATCGCTCCGGGCGCGCAGCCTATCACGTGGCGCGGCGGTGCTCCGGCGGGACTGCGGCTCCGCGGTCATTGGTGGACGGCGCGCGTCCCGGGCGCGCCCATTGGCTGTGGGGGGCGTTCACGTGAAAGGGGGGGTCTGGGAAGGCGTCCCGAGTGGGGAGAGGTGGCCTGAAAGTTAAAGGGAGCCGCGCGGCGGCTGGAAGCTAGAGTCCCAGGTGAGGGGCCGCAGGGAGGAGGCGGGCGGGCTGCTCTAGCGCACGGACGGATGCGGCTGCCCGCGGAGGGCGCCCACCTGAGCCCCGGCCCCCGCTCCTGCTGTCGCCGCCGCTGCCCCTGCCACCCTGGGGCGGATGCTGCCGCAGGCTGGCGCCTCCGCACCTCGGGGCTTATGAGCTGTACCAGGTACGTCCCCCACCAAGCCCGCAAGGCCCGATGCCCGGCCACAGAAAAGGCGACGAGCGCACGCATCAGGGACCCTCTCTGGTTCCTGCCGCACACGCTTTCTCAGGCCAGCTTGCAGTTACACTCTGGGCATGGGACACTCAAAGGGCTCGAGGAAACTTGCTTCCTCGTGCAGAGGGCAATGCAGGGACCAGAGGTTGGATGGAGCCTGGCCGGACCCACGTGATGCACCGAAGGGGGTCCTGGCCACTATGGGAGGCTGGGGCTGGGAGTCCAGACCACTCTGGGTCCCTACTGTGCCGAGTTCGAACCTGACACTAGGCTTTTCCGGCTGGGAACCGACACTCCTAGAGCTGAGCCCTGGGATCTTGAGCACACGGGAAAGTCGCTGCGTCTCTCACCCCGCCTCGACTTCCCGTTACAACGTAGGGGAACACACTGGGTGATCTCTGGGGTCGCCGAGGGCTACGGGACACGGAGCGCAACGGCGGCTGGGGCCACCCGGGGCCGAGCCACCTCGGGTCCCCAGCCCCCAGACAGGCCGTCCTGGGCCGGCGGGGTCGAGGTGGCCGCGCGGGGACGCTCTCGCGGCGCCTCTCCGCCCGGGGTGGCCCCGCCGCCCCGCCCCGGTGTGATAACTAGGGCTCCTCCTCCTTGTCGTCTTCCTCCCCCTGCCGGTCACAACTCCGGGAACCCAGCCCAAGCCCTGCCTCCCGGACACACACCGGGGCTCACGTAGTCTGGTGGCGGCAGCCTCCCTGCCACCTCCCTCCGGGTTCTCCGATGCGGCGAGCCAGCTGGAAAGGGGGCTTCCCCGCAGCCCCACAGGTGGGTTCCCGCTCGGCGAAGGATCTCAGGGAGGGTTTGGGGGCGGGGTGCAGCCCGGGCCTGGCTGGACCCAGGGGGCAGTGACCTGAGGGAACTTCGAAGCCAGGACCCCCTGGCCTGCCCCCGTGTCCTGTTTCTGCCACCCTTTTGAGTCCAGAGAAAGAGGTGTGGAAGCGACTCAGTGCAAAAGAGGGAGCAGAGAGCCCAGAACATACTAGAAGGTTTGGGCTCTCTTCTGGTATTGTTTGCTGCAGAAGAGGAGCAAATTGAGAACTTGGAGAGTTGCTAGAAGATGTTGGGGCCTGTGGTCTGTGTGGCCAGGCCTCCCTGGGAGACCCACGGTCCAGGAGAAGGGAGAGGAAGGCCTTCAGGCTGGGGTGCAGAGGAGAAGAGGAAATGGTTCATTTGGCAGCGTTGTCCAGGAGCCAAGACTAAAGTGAAGACAGCTGGAGGCTTTACCCCAAAAGTAAAGTTGAGGTATTTAGGGAAAAGTTAGTGGGAAAAGAAGAACCATCAGGCAGTATCAGCAACCCAGAATGTCAGAGCTCAAAAGGGATCTCAGGGGAGAAGCTGAAGCCCAGAGAGGTTGAGTAATTTGCCCTGAGTGCCACAGCGACGTGTAGGCATTCCTAGGCCAGTGCACTATATTTCATATTGGACACTTTTAGATGCGGACATTGTGCCATTTTAACTTATCTCTTGTCTATAATATGCAACCTCATCCACAGATACTTATCTCAGAGATGCTTTGGATGGCAGTGACAGAATAGAGAAGTCCAAGTGGCATCTAGGGCTGCGAATAAGGGCCCCATGGTCAGAGTACCAAGGGAAAGATGCCAACTTTGTTCACACTATGGCAGCCAAACCTTTTGGGAGCAAGCAAATAGAGAAATGCCAAAAGAGTAGGTGGCCACATCTTTAAAACAAAAATTGTACCTGGTAGCTTGGTTGTGAATGCTTACCTTCACAATGTAACTTCAGTGTTCCTGGTGAGTTATTGGTGCGTCTGATATTTCTGTCTTTTCTTATCAGAGTGCAAGAGAATGGGGGAGGCAATGTGTTGGCCTCAATACAGAAGAAAAAGATTTGCTTTCTATAAAAGGCACAGCCAGAGAGTCAGTAGTTCAGCTGCTTGAAACTGTGAAGGTTATAGGGTTATTTTCTGTACAAGTTGATAGATTTTAGAGAAAAATCACCATGACATGTAACCCTTGCCAGCTGTCTTGAGAGGGTGTGTTGTTTGTCACCAGTGGAACAGGAAAAGCTTTTATGCAAAACTCTCCATGTTCTCTCTAATTTGCATGGAGTGTTAGGGTTTGTCTTCTTTTTGACCCGAAACCCTGAAACGTACACTTAGACACGTCCGGTCTCTCATGGGGCAAGACTGATCTCCTAGGCATCTATTTGGAAGCAAAAGTTTTGAGAATCCTTGCTGGTCTGAGTAACAGCTACTCACAGTCTTGTGACCTTGTCCTGCAAAGAACTGGTATCCAGGTCCGATGTCATCTCTGCTGGTTCAGTTGTGTGTCCACATCTCCTTCTGTTTGTTTTTTTTTTCCCTGACCAACCTTGGTGACTCATATTACCTGGCTTGGGCGAGGGAAAGGGCAGAACTCCCAAAGAGTCTGTCAGAAGAGAGGGTGTGAGTACAGCCCAACGCATCCTGTGTTGGAACTGATCATTTTCATGCCATTTAAGGATTAAAACACCTGTCCACGTGCCTGCCTTTCAGGGACTTAGGAAGCTCTAATTACCTTGTGTGTCTCCAGTGACAGGAGTGCGTCTGGGCGTTGGTCATCGTGGTCAGGGTCCATCAGGGAATTTCTGAGTAGGTCAGGAAGGCTTCCACCAAACCAGCACTTCGGTGCACCAGTTCTTGGAGAATGATCTGAATAAAAGCTGGAAGCTACCTGTGAGGATGGACAAGGGAGCCAAGAGTCAGACTGCACCCTCTGTTGAAGCCACAGGCGTTAGTGACCTCCCCTCCAGCACTGGCAACACCGAAAAAGTGAAGGGATTCTGGGCTGGAGTCCAGGAGGAACGCCTGGGCCCCCACGTGGTTCACCTTCCTTTTGCCGTTCATGAAGAAAGTCACACGACCAATTCCACTCTGGAAAGTACCAGTGGAATTGTTTAATTCCAGTCCACAGTGCCAGTGGAGTCTGGCTCTGACTCCAGCCTCACCTCCTCAACCCCCCAACCCCCTGTTCTTAAAGCCCGGTGATAAAAGGGATCCCAGGGGTACATTTATACCTCTGGGTCCAAATACTGAAACTTTACCAATGCTTTCAACTAAGCCTCTCTAACCAGCGGGGTTAGAACTTGAGAGCTATTGCCGTCGACTACAAGTGTGCAGTTGCTGTCGCTGATCCCCTTGTGTTAGAATTCTGTTTCCACAATATTTTGAGAGCTCCCCAACCATTTTCTAATGATCTGTTTTAAGGTTGTGCGGGAAAGCACGTATGAGGGTGGTTTGCAGGCTTGCTGGACGCATGTAGAGAGCCTGCAGTTGACCTTGTGCTGACTCAGGTCAGGAGGAAGCTGCTGTGGCCAAGGAGGAACCCCTCCTCCCTTAGTTCATACCCAGGTTGTCAGGGGTGGGCAGAGGAGGAGGGGCTGGGATGCCCGGCTTTGCCTGCTGTTTGGTTATTTTTAATTAACAATTCATTCAAAAAACAAAAGCTACCTGTGTTAAAAGTAGAGCTGAAAATGTGATTCCAATGCATTCTAACAGAGTTTTGCAATGAACAGAGGAAAAGAAAACTTGAATTACTTTTTAGGTGTAGGGTTTTTTGGTGTTTGTTTTACATTGAACCCCTCAGTGAACCTACTGACTTTCTTTTTTTTTTAAGTTGTCTTGCCCAGTTCAGTCAGAACTTGCCTTTCCAGAACAATTGCATGGGTGTAAACAAATATAATAGCCAGTTTGCTCCGAAATTTTTCACTTGTTTCACTTTGTTAGAGGAGAAACAGTAACACAGACATCCTTTAAAATGCATCTTGATGGCTACATTCTGGCTATAAATTAAGATAAGAACATTTAGAAATGTTGGGCCATTTCAGACTAATATAGGTACTTGTGTTATTATTGTTTTGTCTCTGAACGTGTGGGTTTCTCCACTTGTTCATCACTAAATGATTCCTGCATCCTGAAGAAGTGCTATTTTTTTTGTTTGTTTTGGAAAATGGGATCAAACCCAATATGTCTTCATACTTTCTCACTTTTCTTTATGTATTTGATCATCGAAATCAGAAGCTGAGGAGCAGATATTATTTATGGGTCTGGTATTGTTTGTGAGACCAGTGATCTCCCCTCTTGTCAGAAGATGAGCAACAGTTTGCCAGTCTTTCTCCTGAACTACCATCATCAATCCACAGCAGAGCACCCCTCCCGTGGAGGGGAGATTAGGGGAGGCCTGAGAGTTGGTACCCCAACATACCACCACACACTATTGCCACACTAGAGCCTTTGTTATGAGGGAAGATGTGATTGGCAACTAATCCAGACCCTGTGTTCTGTGATTCTCAGACCAGAGATTTTAATCCAGATTTCATCACTGACTTCTTCAGTTAGCCTTTTGGAACTGTCAAATCAGGATATCAATTTGCCATGGTAATTTGAAATTCAAATGGCTGGGCTCTAGTGTGGAAATAGTGTTGGGTGAGTTTTGGCAAATCTTAAGATATCTGAGATGTTTTACTATATTTATTCTGTTTTCTTGGTTAGAGAAGTTCTATTATTTTAGAAAAGATAAGACAGTACAAAGCAGGAAAACAGAAATCTCCTGAAATCCCATCATCTTGATATTTTGACAGTTTTAAGTATATCTCTAGTCTTTTTTCTGTGCATATATGTAATAATTTTGCCCTACAAGTCTAGTCTGTCTGTATAATTTTATCTTCTCCATTTTTTACATTGAAAGTGAAAGTGAAAGTCGCTCAGTCATGTTTGACTCTTTGTGACCCCATGAACTGTATAGTATAGACTTGACTGTATAGACTGGACTGTATAGAATTCTCCAGGCCAGAATACTGAAGTGGGTAGCCTTTCCCTTCTCCAGGGGATCTTCCCAACCCAGGGATCGAACCCAGGTCTCCTGCATTGCACATGGATTCTTTACCAGCTAAGCCACAAGGGAAGCCCAAGAATACTGGAGTGGGTAGCCTTTCCCTCTTCCAGCAGATCTTTCCAACCCTGAAATCAAACCAGGGTTTCCTACATTGCAGGTGGATTCTTTACCAACTTAGCTATCAAGGAAACCCATTTTTTACATTAATCATATATTATGAATTTTTATGCCTTTTAAGTCTTTTTTACAAATAATCATTTTAATGATATAAAATTATATCACATGAATATAGTATATTTGATTTAATTGGCTACCTGTTATTGGTCATTTAGTTTATTTTCTCACATTTCCCCCTCCACTTAATGTTGCATTGAATAATTTAATACATTAATCTTCATGCATTTTAAATTATTCCCTTAAGTTTAACACCTGTATGTGATATAAGAACCCAAAAGTATAAGATTTAGAAATTTTGTGCCATTTGGACTAATACAGATATTTGTATTATCTTTTAAAATTCTTTCCTAACTCATTAGGTAAAAACAGGCACTGTTTTCTAATCTAAATTTCTTAAATTACTTACAAGCTTTGACATTTTGCATATTTATGAGCCACTTTTAAATTTCTTCCATGAATTGTCTATTTGTGCTCTTTGCTTATTTTTCTACATGGAATATTTGACTTTGTTATTATTTTATAAAATCTCTTTATATATTAAGATATTAACACTTTGCTGCCATGCTTTTTGGAAAATATTTTTCACAGTTTGTCTTGTTTTTTTTTAGTTTTACTTACTTTATTCCCTTATACAAAAAATATTGTTTTTATGAAGTCAGATTCAATGTAATTTTTAGCATGATTCTCTTTGCTTTTTATTCTTATAGAGGCTGTTTTCACTGTAGAAAAAAACAATTATTCGCTGATACAAAAGGTTTAAAAATGCTAAATTGCTGGCCCTTTTTAAAAACATACTGGAATATAAAAATCGACTGTACATTGAATGAAGACAGGTTGGGGGTCTGTCTTCACTACTGAATCCAGGGTCTGGCATCATGCCTGGCACAGAGCAAATGACAGTCAGTATTTGTGGGATGAATTCATTTCTTTTTATTGGATGAGAGCAAACTGCTCAGCAAGGTGTGCCACAAAAAATGGAGGCTTCCCTCATTAGGAATAAGTTTTGGAAACTCCACAAACAGCATGCTCTTTTCATTATTCCCCACAATCATCAGTGTACTGAAGGCCTCAAGAGGTCCTGACAGGGAAGCCCGTGAACTGGTTTTAAGACCAGTGGTTCCACACTTCTTTGGTTTTAACCTGGGTCCTCTCCCCCGGCCCACCCTCCACTTACACTTTTAATCTCCCCTGAAACCATGGTCACACTGGACCACCCTTGAGTTAACAATGAGCTGTGACCACGTGGGCAGAGATGAAGGCAAACGCAGCTTGCTGGTCCCTGTTGGAAGGATGAGTCTGAACGTGTCTGACCTCCTTTCTGTTTTGTCTTTCTCCTTGGTCAGGGTTCTAGCGTGTTCCTCTAGCCCCGTGATGGCCGTGGACATCGAGTGCAGGTACAGCTGCATGGCCCCCTCCTTGCGCAGAGAGCGGTTCGCCTTCCAGATTGCCCCGAAGCCAAGCAAACCTCTGAGGCCTTGTATTCAGCTGAGCAGCAAGAATGAAGCCAGTGGGACGGTGGCCCCCACGGTCCAGGAGAAAAAGGTGAAGAAGCGGGTGTCCTTTGCCGACAACCAGGGGCTGGCCCTGACGATGGTCAAGGTGTTCTCTGAGTTCGATGACCCATTAGATATTCCACTGAACATCACCGAGCTCCTGGACAGCATCGTGAGCCTGACCACAGCAGAGAGTGAGAGCTTTGTGTTGGATTTCTCACAGCCGTCGGCAGACTACCTGGACTTCAGAAATCGGCTTCAGACCGACCACGTGTGCCTGGAGAACTGCGTTCTGAAGGACAGGTCCATTGCAGGCACCGTGAAGGTGCAGAACCTTGCATTCGAGAAGACGGTCAAAGTCCGGATGACCTTTGACACCTGGAAGAGCTTCACAGACTTTCCCTGTTGCTACGTGAAGGACACATACGCGGGTTCAGACAAGGACACGTTCTCCTTTGACATCAACTTGCCTGAGAAAATTCAGTCTTACGAGAGGATGGAGTTCGCCGTGTGCTACGAGTGCAATGGACAGATGTACTGGGACAGCAACAAAGGCAAAAACTATAGGATCATCCGGGCAGAGCTGCAGTCTACCCAAGGAACAGCCCAGCCGCCAAACGGACCAGATTTTGAAATAGCCTTTGACCAGTTTGGAAGCCCCCGATGTTCCTACGGTCTGTTTCCGGAGTGGCCTAGTTATTTAGGATACGAGAAGCTTGGGCCGTACTACTAGTGACAGCCTGAGATGGAGCCGGGCTCAGTGGGCGCAGATGAGCCAAGCTGCAGTCATCCTGGGGTGGAGATGGAAGCCCAGAGAAAAGCTGAACTGCCATCAGACACAGTTTTGAAAATAATGGATCCTAGTCACTTTTCTCCTTCAGTCAACCAAGACAGCCAGGTTTAGATCACAGAACTGGGTTCACGCTTGGAGGAGATGGCTGTGCTGGTCCGTTTGGCAATGAGGGTCTGAGCAGGATGATGCTTTAAAGGGTCTGGACAGGACCCGGGCTTGTGGGCAGCCCTGGCCGGGCCAGAGGATGTTGGCTCAATGATAAGGAGTCCCTCTCCTCTCGGGTGTGGGAAGTCAGTCCCCTGGCAAGTCCTCGGTCCTCCCGTGTCCCCTCTTCTGGGGGTCTTCGCCGCCCAGCCAGGGCCTTCTCGCCTGTTGCAGCTGCCCTGTGTCTACATGGGCTTCACACTGTATCTTTGCATTTTTGTGCACTTGGTTTTCTTCCACAGTTCAGCTGATGTTCAGGAAAAGATGATACAGACCGATCAACTTGTGATGGAGACGGGCATTTCCTCTTTCTGACCCCGCGTTGACAGCCCAGCAGAGGACGACACACCAGCTATGGGAAGTCAGCTGGTTCCTGGGTGGTGTCACCAGCGGTGCACTAGGCTGATGCAGGCAGGACAGGCATGAGTGGGACATGAGCTTCTCCTCTTGGCTTTAGGGGAGCTTTCTAGGCCCTCACTCTTACCCTGAGTAACCGGACAGCTTGGTTACAAGACTTGTTGTAACTTGCTCAGCTGACTTGCCCGTCTCTTTCTTCACAAAAGGATTTTAGAATCTCTTTTCCTGGAGAGTCATCATTTATGCCGTGTTTGGGATGTTTGGATTTGCAGATTCAATATATCCTCCACACCTCCAGAAAACATTTGGTTGTATTTTTACTGTGATTTACAACAGCCACGTTGTAAACAACATTTTACCAGCCCCCACGGACTTTGATATGGTTGTTCTTATTTATGGTGTGTGGGTGTGGAAAGGGATGGGGAAGAAAACCTCACCAAGTTCTCAGATTTGATTTTTATTGTTTGCCAGCTCTGAAATATCATAGACTCATTGTTCTTAACCATATTGGACTAAAGCATTACAAGTCTGTTGGTTCACACTGTTGTGAAATTCGTGGGACTTTCCTTGTCCAATGGATCCCCAAACCCTGTGATTTTTCTTGGACAAGATTCATTGGTACTTGGGAATGTTTAAAAAGTACTTTTATATGTGTATTTGTAGAAGGTTTGGGTTTTGTTTTTATTTTTGGAACTTAATTAAAGGACCGCCTCGTTTTTCTTCTGCCTGATCTTACTAAAGTGAGGTCTTCCTAAGGGGAGGCAGGAGATGGGGTGCCCCACTCCCTAGATCTGGGGACACAGACCCTGGACTCTCAAGCAAAGAGTCTTCTTTTGCTTGCATTCTCCAGATCGGTTAGAAGAGACCTCCTGCTTTCTGTGGCTTTTGTAAATCAGCATTGAGCAGATCTCAAGTGTCTTGGCTCCTAGAGTTTTGTGGTTGGGTTTTTTTTTTCTTTTCTTTTTCGAACTTTAAAATGTTTTGATTTTTTAAAATGCTCTTAAGTGGTGTTCCACAGAGTTCTTATCCCTAAAACTGGCTGTGATTAGTCTGCAACCTAGTGCCTTATTTTTTATGTCTCTCCCAGGTGGCCAGCACTGGGGGATTACATACTAATGTAATTTAAGGGACAATCACATTTTTTTCTTATGCCGACATTGGGCAGAACTGGGTTTTATCTAAGCATGTCTTACATCCGGTACACAGACAAGATTCTCTATGTTACAAATCTGGTGATCAGAATTGTTATACAAGAGTGTAAATCTACACCATTTGGAAGCAAACCTAATTCTATACGGGTCATGAATTTATTTTGCTTTAAGAAGTCCCTTCCCTCCTCCTGCAATTTATGGAAGGTACAAAGTGTACTGTCATTTCCTTATGACCAGATCCTTCTCTGTTAGTAAGAAAAATGCCTCAAGTGACTTCTGTATGGTTTTAAGTCATTGTGATCTGAAGGCATTCCCATGTCAAAATTTGAAATACGGTAATTCAGTGATAAGTATCTCTTTCAAAACGACCACAAACCCTCCCCCTACCCTTCTTTCCTCCCAGCTTATCCCAGCTTTTCTGCTGGGGGCACTGGTTGCAAACCCCCTCACCAGTGCACCTGGGTTGCTCACCCCACTGGGCAAGTCCTTACCTGCTGGCAAAGAAAGACCCTTCTCTGACTAAAGCAAGTGCCTGCCCGAGCTCCCTGGCAGCACTGTCAGGCAGTGAGGTTTCAGCCTCTGAAGAGCACTGTCTCCTCTTTACCAGTCAGTCTGTCTCCTCTTGGGCTTCCCACATGGCGCAGGTGATGAGGAACCCACCTGCTAATGCAGAGAACTTAAGAGAAGCTTGATCCCTGGGTTGGGAAGATCCCTTGGAGAAGGGTGCGGCCAACCCACTCCAGGGTTTTTGCCTGGAGAGTCCCACAGACAGAGGAGCTTGGCGGTCTACAGTCCATAGAGTCGTAAAGAGTTGGACACTACTGAAGTGATTTAGCACGCACACATGCTGTCTGCTTTGGGGCCAGTTCTCTTCCAGGATATCAACAGCTGGCCTCAGGACCTGCTCCCAGGGGCTCTCTCCTTGGTTCCTAACTCACCAGCAGGAATATGTCTGCACACTTCAGAAAGGGACAGGTTTCTTATCTGGAGACATGACTGCAGCTCAGCTGTCCAGGGGCGGGGAGGCAGCTTCATTTCTGTTTCATATTTATTCCCCCATGTGTCCTGGGGAGTGTTTGCAAATTAGGTGCAATAAATAAACTAGGTGCTCTAAAGATAGATTTTATACAATAAGCTTTCAGTGTTTCTTGGAAGATGGCAGCATTTGGGCAAGATTGTTTTTTTCCTCAAGTGTTCTTGTTACAGGTGAGAAACAGTGAAGTTACATAGTTCTCCAGAGATTAAAACAACTTCAGAGTCAAGGTAGGGTGTATTTTCTAAGGTTAAATCTGAACGGTGGCAAAACATTACTCTTTCAATGTTTTCTGAAGATGTAAATTTTAAACTGCTAAAAGAATGTTTTGTGGTTTTGATCTTTGCCTATAATTTGACATTTTTAAAAACAAGCGTTACTTGTAGCCACTGGGATACTAAATGACTTCTATATATATATGTGTGTGTGTGTGTGTGTAAACGCCCCAAAAGTATTTGCTCACTTTTCAGAAGTTCTGTGGGCTAGGGTTTCCCTCTCAATGGACAGTGAGTGAAAACTTCAGTGTCCTTCCTTCAAAGCCCTTGACTGGATGTGATTTGCTAGAGAAAGCACCATGGCTTCTGCCCTGGGAGGTCCTGACGTCCTCATCTCTCCTGAAATGACCACAGACATTGGGGCTAAGATGTTATACTTACAATGTGATCTCTCAGCTCATCTGAAGACACTTTGCCAGCATATCTTCACCTCCTGAAGTGGGACGCATCTGAACGGGAAGGACAGACAGCTGTGAAGATGGGCAGCTTTTCCTTGTTAGGGTTGTAAAGCACTGGGGCGCAAGTTGTAAAGCTGTGGATGCGTTGAGTCCTGTTTATCAGTTTCTAGAGTCGGCTGGACCTGTGAGGACTCCAAGAACACAGCTGTGATGGTGGCAGTCCACTCTTCTATGTGAATGTAGAACCGGAGACTCAACTTCATTTTCATGCCTGAAAGTGCCTTGTCGAGAAAGTTCCACAGGTTTTTAAAAAAAAATACATATTTTTGTACACAAAGGGGAAATGCACTTTAAAAATCACAAGAATGGATGCCTTGTGTGTGGTATAAGAGAGTGGTTTGTTTGGATCTCAAATGCAAAAATGTAATAAAGGTAGAAAACCCCAAATGGAAAGTGTCCTATTTTAAAACTGACTCTCTTAGAGTCAGAGGTTGGGGAGTAACATTTTCAGTCAGTGTGTTTCCACATATAGAAAGCCAGTTTCCAAAAGGGCTAGGACACAATCAGCGGCTAAGCTGAAAAGCTGGAAGATGCAGAGAAAGGAGTAGTTGCTTTTTAAGCTGTTAAAACAGCCAAGGCTGATTACAACTAAGAAAATGATTGCCAGGGAAGAGGCAGAGGGGCCTGAGTTGTTATGAATCATTTTTAATAATCTGAGGGCAGGTCTCTTCCTACCCCCTCACTTGCTCTCGAAGAGTATTTTTGGTTTAGTGTATGCAACAGTGGGAAAACTAATAAGCAGCTATCATAACTTTGAACTGCTTAATCAGACAGACTTTGCAACCAGCAAACCACACAGCGCCTAGTGGGGCCCTGCCTCCATGGGGTGCAGGACATTCACCCTAAGTAAGAGTTCAGAGATGTTTTATTTCAAAGTTCAGAAGATGGGATGCAGGCAAGGTGAACTGCTGCCAGATGTTTTCTGCCAATCAGTCTCAGCTGCAGGGGAAAGGCAGCGGTGGTTCTGCCGTAGAAAGAGCATTTTCAGTCTTAGCATCTGGTCGATAAGTGCCCAAAGCGAGCTACAAGCGTAACCGTCTTTCTCAAGCCTGGCAAACACTGCCCACGTTTTGGCTTTCCAGAAATAAGGGGAAAAAAATAGCACTCATTTTTATGAATGTCGACTCGAGATACAATGTGGTTTTCATAATCATTACATAATTCTCATTTGTGAGACAGACATTCAGGAGATGTCTAGAGTAAAAAGGAAAGAAAAAAAAAGCCAAACCACTTTTCTAGAGCAACGTCCCCAGAATAGCAAATATCCAGCTCTGTGAATAATTCAATGGAATAGTTATTGCTCATGGGCAAGGCCATTTCTAGGTACTGTTTCTTTTTTTTCTTTTACTTCAGTTTTGGCCGTACCGGGTGCAGGGTCTGCGTTGCTGCATGCGGGCTTTCTCTAATTGCAGTGATCCAGGCTACTCTCTAGTTGCAGAGTATGGGCTTCTCGCTGTGGTGGCTTCTTTTGTGGAGCATGGGCTCTAGGTGAGCAGGCTTCAGTATATGGGAAACATGAGTTTCGTTGCTCCGTGGCATCCTCCCAGACCAGGGATCAAACCTGTATCCCCTACATTGGCAGGCGGGTTCTTACCCAGTGCACCACCAGGGAGGTCGTCTAGGTGCTGTTTCTACCCAACCCTGTAGGAGACAGTCACATTTTAGGTGAGTCCTCTAGGAGCCGTGGGAAGTGGTGGGTGGTACTGCCAGGGGTATCAGCAGTCGGTAAGCCTGGCATCTGGCCTTGACCCTGCTGCCCCCTGTCAACTCTCTACTGACGGGGTTCTGAGTATTTTTAGCAGGAATAAGGTAACTAGGGGTTCTGACGGTGCCCTGAGTACTTCTTAGAGTTGGCCAACGTGTTTGCTTTTAAAATGCTTCTAAATATAAACTTATAAGAAGTGCCACGTACACTTTGCATTCTTCGTGAGGATCACAGGAACAAGAGCATTCCAGACGACGGTGTGGACTTCAGAAAACCATTGGTGTTCACGCTGGAAGGGCTATCTGGGAGCTCTTTTTATGGATTAAGAGGCAAAGGCCCTTGGTGTGTTCCCGAGAGTCACAGAGCCAGTTGGTGGCAAATCTGAGGGGACTGCGCGTGAGAGTCTCTTTTTCCAAGAACTGTCCCCCCAAACTGGAGGCTCTCTCACAGAACCGAGACTAAAATGGTGATTCTGAAAAGAAGTTCCTCATGCTGGAAAGATGTGATTCCCTGGGGAGGCATGAACACCTGCATCTTTTTTTTTTTTTTTTGGCTGCACCCTGTGGCTTACAGGATCTTAGTTCTCCAACCAGGGATCAAACCCATGCCCCTCCTGCAGTGGAAGTGCAGAGTCTAGCCACTGGACAGCCAGGGAAGTCTCTGAACACACATGCATCTTCACACCCAAAAGGCACATGGCAAGGACCACTGACCACATGGAAGCATGAAGGTCAACATTAAAAGATTTGGGTATCCTAGGGCCCAGTTGGACAGCAGGATGTGATGGATGGTAGGAAACCACCAAAGGGCCCCATCTACCCATGCATCTAAGGATTCAGAGCCCACACTGCCTTTCACCTGTGGCCCAGGACCCCCAACTCTCATTTCTTCCCCTGCAACGTCACCCATTCCTGGAGAGGAAACAAGTAATCTCAACAGAGGTCTTCATCCAAGTGGGGTTCCCCAGGGGGTGACACTCCCCAGACACTTCCCCAGTATCAGACCCTGTGCTGGACTTGAGTCGAGACAAGGTAGGAAGAGGTTGCAGAACACTCACTCTTCTTTGGAGCCAAAGACAACAATGATCCAGAACCTTGGCCCTCTACGCCAAATGAGAGATCAGGTGGCAAGATCAGGGCTTGGCAACCTTTTCCTGTAAAGGGCCAGATAGTCCTTATATTAGGATTTGCACATCATGTTTACCTATGTCACATATTCTTTTTTTAAAAAGTATATGTATATAATAATCATTCTCAGCTGTGTGCCAAACGCAAACCAGCCAAGGGCTGTAGTTTGCCGACCCTGGTTGAAGAATCACATAGAGTGAGCCCTCAGAGGAGACTGTCGCCCCTCAGCTGAGGCCTGAAGTCGACTTTCTAGTTTGTTTGTTTAAAGACCGTATAATTTATGGTCTAAACTGGGATGCTTTTGAGAATGAATAGGGCTGCTCTGAAGGACCCTGGAGCACTCATGGAAACCAGCAGCTGGGCAAGCCCTACTGTGTCAGGCCTGCCGGGCTCACCTATCCTGGACTTGAGGATCTCCTTCGACCTCGAGGAACTCTGAAAGCCCCAGCCATGGAACTTATGGAACTTCCCTGGCCATCCAGTGATTAAGACTTGCTTCCAATGCAGGGAGTATGGGTTCAATCCCTAGTTAGGGAACCAAGATCCTGTATGCCACTCGGCCAAAGATAAATAAATAAAAATTAAAAAATTTTAAAAGCCAGAAGAAACTATTTTTTAATGCCTTTAAAAAAAGGGAAAATAACACTTAAAAAAAAAGAGAAAACCCCAGCGAGTCATGAGCCAGAATCAACTCTGGCTAGATAGTGCTTTTGGGGAGATGGGTTATATCAGAGTGGTGATTTTGTCTGTGGTTTCAATGTGTTTTTGTTGGTTAGGTTTGTTTCCTAATGGTAGTGTTGATGGCCAAAAGCCCTCTGGAAACTTCAGCCAATTCACTCTTAAAAGCAGAGAATTTAAAAGGAAAGGGGTTATTAATGGTTTGGGCTTACATCCTATTTCTCTCCACCCCCACCCCCGGGCCCCAAAATAGGGCAAGCACGGCCTTGCTCCCCAAGAAAGATGTTCACTGTGGACCAAGACACAGTCTGAATCTTTCAGTATTCCAAGCCCCAGTCGCCAGAAAGTATTTACCACTGAAGTGCCCCCAGGAATTTTGCAAACCACAGAGTCTCAGCTCATCTATCTCTGGCCCAGCACATTCAAGAGGCCTTAAGCCCCACAGAAGACCAAACAAGTAGAAATTCATCTCCAAAATGCTTTGGGCGCGGACTCTGAAGATCTCCTCTCCCTTGCCAGTGGCCATCTTGGTGATGTGGACACACAGGCTCTTCAGGTTTTGTCACCTCCTACGGCTGGCAGTCACCACCACCCAGTGCTGAATGAAGGGTGACAGTGTAAAGAGGACCCCAGTGTGAGAGCGGCAGGGACTTGGAAATGTCTTTATGAAGCCCCGATACATCCAAGGGGGGCTCAGCTTTCCCCAGTTCACTCCTTTTCAGGGAATGTGGGCACATCACACGTCACAAGTTGCACTGCAGAAAGAAAATGACCCCCCGCCCCCACTCCTCCTGGGCTTACTCCCACGGCCACCTTGTTCAGTGCCTTGGTGGACATCTTGGTCCCACTTGAATGTGGAATTATCCGGGCGACATTTTGCTGATCTTACCACACCATTTTATTACAATTTATTTTAGTATTAATTATTCACCATTCATCAATTGCCTATTGAAACAAACACCTAAATATCTGCCAGATATTTTCACAAATTCTTTTTTGCACACTGCTTTGCCCGTTCCTCATGTAAGAAGCATTTGTTAGTTTGAATTCTCCAGCCTCCAGTTGCTTTTCCTACCAGCTGATTGATGACCTCACTATCTTGCGTCCTCGGACTTATGTTTCTTGTATGTTACCACTCCAGTATCCTTGCCTGGATAGTCCCGTGGACAGAGGAGGCTGGCCGGTTACAGTCTGCAGGGTCGCAAAGAGTCAGACGTGACTGAAGCGACTTGGCATGCATGTACACGTTGTGTCACTACTACTCTCTCTCTCACACACACATATAGACTGAAAAGAAAAACCAAAACGCATTTTCTCTGCAAGCATCCTTCTCCCACTGGTTCGTTTTCCCGCTTTGAAATGTGGAGTCTCTACCCCAGAGTTTCTGCAGGCGGTGTGTTCTGTCCCAGGGTTGCAGAGGCAACACTGAATGCCCAACACGGTCGGCAGTGGCTGCAGCAGCAGAGACGGAATGCCGCCAGGCACTGGTGCCTCTCCGCCTCCACGGAACCCTCACTGCCCTCCGCTCAGCCTCTGCACTATCTCCCCAGATTGGGGGCTTGAGACACTGGGTTCTGACTGCAACTTCAGCCCCGAGGAACGGTGAACCACTGGCGGTTCAAAGGTTTTGTGAAGCACTGGAATCTGTTCTTAAACCAAATCTTACAAGAAATCAATTTGCAAAATAGACAGAGAGGGAGCTGCCCAAAGTAGATACCACAGGAAGGGAGCAACAGCCCTCTCCCCCCACCCCAGATTCCTGAGACACTTCCTAAGACCCCTGAGCTTCTGAAATAGAGGCAAGGCCCTTTGCCTTCAAGCCCAGAGTACATTGTCCCTGCTTTCTATGCTAGTGAATGTGGGTCAAGGATACTCTG